GCTAGAGCTGGCTAGTCTTCTTGACCTAGTGTTAGCGTGAGACTCTAATCAGAATGAGTTCCAGCTATGATTAAGTTCATTACATAAAGGGCAAAATTTCAATGGATTTTCACCCGAATCAAGGGTTGATGTCTTATGGACTGCCTTAACCTGAACGTCGTATTACATAAAAGTTATTGCAGTACAACGGGATTCAGCCATCGTCTTCTGGTGAGAATTAGTTTAGTCTTAATCAAGCTTAACCAGCTATTACAGTGAATCTTTCATCAATAAAAGTTTCTGACCTGAGCATCATCTGCCTCATGGTATATCAAAGCTTATAACGGATAACTTGGATTAGGGACCTTTTCGCACGACAGAATAATCACAACGATGAGGTGATCCATCTTCAATTTACGGTGAGACCAAGTTACTAATCATTACACTTTTCTGCTAAAAGAAATTTATGGTACATTGCATAAATATACTAAGTTATTTTCTCAGCCAAACTTCTTCTCCTTTTTGATGAGCCATTTATATTTTATATATTGCCCAAGTCCTCAGGAAATCATTATTTACTTTCAGCAAGCTCAAACAAGATGACCACCTAGTCAGAAGTTTACATAGGTAAATGTTTAAGAATAAAATATAGCTTAAACTTTTGTTATTAATTTTAATTCTGAATTTTAGTTACTTACTGGTCAAATCTATACTTTAAACATTTTACTCACATCATTGTATCTCTTACAAAGTAATTAGTTCACTTACTTGTAAGCTAATAAAATAAATTCTAATGGGAAAACTTTATTACTCATTATATTTACTTTTGTGTTAGTTTTTTTACTCTTTATAGTTTAAGCGCACCTATGCTAGCTGCGGCCTTTTCACTTTTTTTTGTGCATTCTATTTATCCTCTCTCGTTACATCTTCCATTTGCCTTGCTGTTTTTTATTATTTTATACCGCCATGAGAAGGCGTGGTCTTTTGGATCCTGGTAAACGACCAGAAGTAGATAAGACCTAAATTTACCTACTACCTTTTATAGTTCGGAATATGCACCAGCACAGCCACTGTCTACCACGCAGTTGTTATTATATTTTTAGAATTTTTTGCATTTGGGCTGTTGACCACCCCAATGATATCCGTATGCTTTTTAATTAATTAATGCTTTTCACGTTTAGATATTGGATGAAGCGTTTCCTAAACATACATTTTTAATGAATGGTTTGGTTCAGGGCGTTAAAGGTTTCCTATCCTTTCTCAGTGCTCCCCTTATTGGATCGATGTCTGATACCTTCGGAAGAAAGCCCTTCCTGATTCTCACAGTTACATTTACGTGCTCTCCTATTCCATTAATTAAATTGAGCCATTGGTGGTATTTCACCATGATCAGCATCTCAGGAATTTTCTCTGTAACCTTCTCAGTTGTTCTAGCATATGTTGCTGATATAACCTCTGAAGAAGAAAGAAGTTGGGCATACGGTTTGGTAAGTAATAATTCCTTAGTTGCATAAGTGGTTTGTTTTCGTAAGTTTAATGTGTAGTTCATCACTAGCTTGTTCATATTCTGTCATTGCTGTTTGAATGCTACTAGTGATTGCTCACATGTATTTCCATGAAGGTGTCAATTTTCCAAGCTTTGTTTAATCACCCACTAATTTTTGAAGCTGTCCCTTTTAAGCTTCTTTCATTTCTTCCACACTCATATGAACCTTACCGCTTTCATTCGCTTCTTCCTCATAGTTATTGATATATGCTTTTTGAGAGTTTTCTAAATTAATTCTTTGTAAGTGAGATATGTCTCAGTTTATTCTTCTGCATGTATGCTATCGAGCTGCCGTGCTCTACTATCGTTAGAAAATATGTTTTCATACCTTGGTGCGTTCTGTTATATGCCTTAGTCATACTTTCATAAATTTTGGTCCCTAAAAACGGTCACAAACTTAACTATCATAATGCTATTCACTTGTGCACAAATTTACCCACCAACGATAGTTATTTATAGTGTTTTGAACTGTATTAATTGCTAGACGATACAAGAAGTTATTATTAATAAAACCGTCATATAGGTTCAAAAATAAGTTATTTGGAGTACGAATTATGCAAGTGACTTAAATATACGGTTAATCTAGCCACCTTTGGTAACCATTTTGTTGCGATGTCACCTTTAAGTTTATCTTCAATCACCCACTTGATTTTTCAGCATTTCGATTGTTATCGTC